CCCTCAGCGCGCGGCTCCCGCCGCAGCCGCCTCAGGGTCTGAGGGAGCCGCGGCTTCCCGCCCTGCGGCAGAGCGAGGCGGCTGTTTGCCGCCCCTTCCTCTCCTCAGAAGGCGAGCAGCAGCCGAAACGGTCGTTTTCACGAAAAGTGCCGCCGTCCTGGCGAGGGCTCGGCCCCTCCAGCCCTGCTCTGATGCTGAGGCGAAAGCTGCCGTGCCGCAGCCGAGGTGTGCTGGTCTGGGCCGCGGCTCTGAGGCCGGGGCAGCGGGTGGGTTTGGGCCTCGCTCGCCCTGCTCTGCAGTCTGGCACGTTACGGCCTGAGGTAACGGCTAACATGTTCTGCTCAGCGTGGTTAACCGAACCAAAGCGCACTTTTGTTCTGTCTCGCCGGCAGACTTGGCTTGCCCTGGTAGCAGTTTAGTCTCCAGTCCCCCTGCTAATCCCACGGTTTATTATTAGTTAGCTAAACCCCAAAGTTGGTCTGGTAGTTTGGGGAGAATGAACATTAGTGCGAATCCAGGTGTTTCCCTCCAGCTGGGTCCTTAAATCAATGCTACAGTATCGAGGCCGGGGCTTGCTGCAGGTGCCAACTTTCAAATGACAGAAATCAAAATTGCGAGCAGCTGTTGAATCCGATGGCCATAGATTTGTTTATTTTGTGCAGGATGGGAAGGAGTTAGCTGTTCTGATTTAAACTGAAGTTTTGAATTTTCACATTTGACTAACTAATCCCTCTTGCGGTGTCGATTAGAGTTCTTCATTTCCTGTCCTACAGTTGTTTATTTTACAGCACTGTGTACTGCATTGGTTCAGCATCTCTTCTCGTGGGAATCCCCTTGCAAAGTTCCCCTTCTGCCTCTCTTAGAGAATTATGCACTTCACCATAAGACCGCATAGCTTACACAAAATCCTTTCTTCTCATGCAAAACACTGTTGCAAAGAATTAAGATCCAGTAACAGAGAAGGAGAATCACAGTCAGTTTTCATACCTCCTCACCACAAAGAAACAAAGTTCTGATAGTGGGGTTTCGTGTAGTGTACTTAAACGCTAATGTAACAGTAACAAATCACGTGGATTTCTTACAGCGTGTCAGTTGTGTCTTTTCTGTTACCTGTCACTTAGAACACAAGGCTGAGCAGGACCACTGCTGAACCTTAACTAACAGACCGATGCAAATTTTGTGCCTCACCACGGAGTAGACAGTACCATCTGTACGACAGTGCTCTGTAATTCTCGGCATTTCACTGACTTTGCTGCAAAATTCAATCAAAACAAACCAACCCTTATTTTTATGCTGGGAGCCTTCCCATAGTGAATAGCCTAATGAGTATTATTTCCTCTGGGGCACATAACCTGAAGGTGGTTCTGAGGGAAAAACCCTTTTAATATAATGTAGGTGTTAAATGAAAACAAAATATGGCCATTTAAAGGGCACTGTAGCTGATTATTGCATTGCCAAACTTTGAGAAGCAGCATTTTCCAGAGTTCATGCTCTCAGGTCATTTGTCCAAAATCCCTTTGTCTTGCAGTGCAGAAACAGTTTTTTGAACAAAATCCCGCAATACACTGAAAATAGAAAAAATAATTAATTTTAGGAAGAAATACTGACAAAAATTATTTCATATTTGGCTAAGTAAACCCCTCAAAATTCTCCATTTAATTTGTGCCTGCAGCAAAAAAATATTTTTCCATACCCATCTCACTAAATTTGTTACAAATCTTCCGTTAAGAAAACAAAATACTACGTGCAGATGATGTAGCTCATCTGCTGCACCTTCTGTTTCATTGCACTGTTATTGAGAATCATGTAATTGGGGCAGTACCTGCAGTGAACCTTAGAGTGATAAGTAGGAGTAAAGCCGGTGCTGGGCCTGGGTGGGAGGCGGAGGGGCTGGGGGATCTGCCAGGCGGCCAGCACGGTCCCCTGGGCCTTTGTCGAAGATTACCAAATGGAAATGACATCACCCGCAGCCAATCGGGGGGCCCCGGGGGTACAGTTGGATGGAAGCCATATTCCACTTAAGTAACAAGACATGACATACCATGTGCTAATGCTAAATAATTTATCCCTCAGGCATATAGTGAATTGCAAAGCCAAGCTGAGGCCTGGTCAACAGTTTGTAGTTTAAATTAAAACTGGCTTTTCCATCTTAAAGGGAAGGAGGGGGTTGTCAACTGTTGTGATCAAAAGTGGAACGCAGAAATCTCGGTTTTTTCTCTTCTCTTCTCTTCTCTTCTCTTCTCTCTTGTCTTTCTCCTGTTATAATTTGATCTAATCAAAAAACTTTTTAGTCATTTTGGGGATACATTCCATGTATCTCTATTAACATGCAGGAAAATCTTCAAGGAAGTTTTAAGTCACTGTGAATAATGATATCCAATATATCCTTGAAACTTAGGCATTAGCACCTGTAATTTCCTAAATGGAAGCTATTCCAAAATTTGGTCATATGTGTATTCATGTTACAAATGTTATATGGGTGTTTCCATAGCAGAGTCATAAATATGTCTCATTAGGAATCCAGAGCCATTTGGTTCTGCTTAGGCTGAAGATCACGCCCAGTCAGCCTCTCTTCTGGATGGTTTGAGCTAGCAGTACACAGGCTGGATATGATGTTATCCGCAGCATTTCACTGCCTGCTGTTGGCTACTGGAACTCACAGTGTAGCCTTTCCAACTCAGTGGTCCAGCTAAGCTTGGCCAAACCTTTGACATACTTTTGTTAAAATACAGTGCTGATTTTACTTAAGAACTGTGTGCCACAATATGCTAAACAGCACTCCCACTGAAACCATAAGAAGTTGAAAGTAGTCAGCACCTTCCATAATCTATCCTTATGCAGCACTTTAAAAAATGGTGGGTCAAGTATTCTTTAATCTTCCAGTGTACTATTGATCAAGAAATGAACAGTTAAAATATACACCATGTTGGCTGGGAAGGAAATAGCAATTGCCTTTAAGTTATATTAGGATAAGAATTTAAAAGGACCTCTGTCCTATGGATAAGCGAGAATATATTTAACTAGTCTCTGCATGTTTGGCTACTTAAAACCTGGAGAGCATGAAGTGGTAGAGAGTTAAAAGGAGCATGTGGAAAAAAATACAAAACAAATTGATAGTGTCTCTGAAAGGTCTTCAGGGAATTCAGCTTTATTGCCACAATAGTACCCTTTCCAGTGTGCAATTACTTGTCATGGAAAGGGCTTTTGACAATTTCTCTTATTTTGGATGCTGCAAAGCATGCTTAATTTAAGTAAGAGTTTGCATTTGATTTTTCCTTTCAATATTTGTTTACTTATCTAGGTTCTTGTATGATTGTCAGGCCAATATCCAAGTTCCCCTTAGGTAACAAAAAGAGAAAAAAAAATGCCACTGAAAAAAATGCGGCAGCAGCTAAAAAATGAATATATTATTTATTTTTTGTTATGTAAGTTCATAGTGTGCATACTGTGGTAGGGAAAGCTCTTCTATTAATAAATTTCAACCTTGGCAAAAATGCATTTTTGTAATTGATCATTCTTTTTTTATTCAAACATTTGTACAATGAGTAACAAAGCCTTTGCATCTAAATCCAAGTAGGAACAGAATTTGGCAAATCTAATTCCTTCCTGGATTTTCGCAGCTCTACTTCCTTTAGGAAGTTTTTAGTCAATGGGAAACAAAGGCTTATTGAAAGGATTAAAGTTACAACTATTCTCTTTGTTTTAGAGCTTCAATCACAGTTTTCCTCTAGTAAACAACATTTGCAATTAATAAAACTTCTAAAAAAACAGGAACTTTGGGGAAGTACGTGCTTATGATAAGCAGCAGGATTTCTTTTAACAGAACTCTATACAAAGGTGTAGTCTTTTTAAGTTAAGACAATGATAACAATTGAGTTTCTCAATGCATTTTAAAAGTGTTCCTTCTGATAAACACAAGACAACAGACTCTACAGTCAGGGATGGGCAGTACATTTAAATAGGGTATATCTTGTCAACAGTTTATTGTGTCCCAAAATGATTTTAAATAGCTGCAAACAACTCACATTTCATATAATGTATAAACCTAGTAATCATGTCTCACACGATGAAATATCTATGCCCATTGGACATACAGTACTGCATATATTTATGAACTATTACCCATAAATTGTTTATTGTTTCCTTTATATGATGCTTGAAAAAGGCATTTGGAAAGCAGTTATCTGTGCACGAATAAGAGCACATGGAATATTTAATCTTTATAATTTATCTTTTACTGTTTTTATGTCATGAAATATTTTATGAATATTTTCATGTTTATGTCAGCTCTATTTTTCTTACTCGCTTTATGTGTTCACTCCCAAGGAATTATCTCCTGTCAGAGGTAAACTGAGGGAAACGTCATAACTCTGTTGATGACCCTCCCTGGAGGGCAGTGTGGAGCTGCGGGGTGATTGGGACTGACTGTTGCAGGAGACATTTAATGAACAGCTCAACTATTGTTCTCACCCAAGTGTCCAGTTCTTTTTCTGGGGTGGCTTATGTCCAAAGGGTGCTGAAAACAGCAATCTGGAGAATAAAGGGACTGCAGTTCTGACTGGCCCCTTAAGCGCGAGTGCATTGTTGTTTCTTACATGCCATTTCTCATTTACAAAAAACATCTTAAGCCATTGTCCTTTTGATGATAAT